TGAGCCCAGGAGTTTGAGGTTTCTGTGAGCTAGGCTGACGCCACGGTACTTTAGCCCTGGCAACAGAGCGAGACTCTGAGTAAGTAAGTAAGTAAATGAATATATTATGCTTTCAAATTTGATTTTGAAATGCATTAAGCAGATTGCAACATTCTGAAAAAAAACAATATTAATTAATTCTAAAGAGTTGGTTGTCTTATGTAGCCATATGAATCTAATCTGTGTCTCCAACATGTGGTTGGATTTCATTCTAAACAAAAGGAAGCTGATTTTCAGAGAATTTGTGAATTTAGCAGTGCCATAGATAATAGGATAACCTAGCGCAAAACACTAGTATTTTAACTTCAAGATCAGTATGATTTTTATTATAGTATACTGTATTGAATTAACAGATAGTGTGGCTAAGTGAGGGGTATGGGGCATGTCCGTGGCTTCTAATGTCTGAAATAGCTAATTATTTCAATTGTACAAAATAAATTCATTTGTTGAATATTTATTAAGCACCTACTATGTATCAGGTACACAGAAGTAAAATTAGATTTATAACATTCTGAAAAATAGTCCACAGATTTTAATTGGCTTTTAATTCTGGGGCTCAAACTCTATGGTAATTCATGAAAAGAATTCTAAAACTGATAAGGGCATTTGTGCCAAAATAGCCACAATAGCTTCAGTTAGAAAAAATACTAACAGCTTAAAAAATCAAACTTCAGTCAATCAAAGTAAATTACAAGTTATTCATGATTTCAAAATAAGGTTCATAATGAAAATGTAATAATATAGAAACTCTGGGAAAAATGGATATAATTTTTTTGTAAATTATGCTTTCCTATGTAAATTCAACTAAGAACTTCATTTGTAGATATGAAAGAATAAAGAAAGACAAACTCTAAACTGTCAGTATTGGTTGTTTAGCTGTTGGAAAGCAGGTAAATTTTTTTTTTTGGTGTTTTTCAAACCTTTTATAACAGCTTTTTTTGTGGTATAATTAAAGTACATGTAAATGTACACCCATGAAAACATCATAAAAATCAAGCTAATGAGCACATATCACCCCTGAAAAGTGTCCCTTAGAAAATGCAACAATGGAATTTATAGACAGCTTCATAATGGAGATCAACTTAAATAAAACACTTTAGCAAATATATTAATACATACATATGTAATATATGTGTGGATATATATATACTTACACATATATAATGTAGGTAGATATAGATTAAAAAGTATATACATGTATGTGTGTATATACATAGTATATGTGTGGGTATAAATATTAATGTGTAGGATGTGTGGGTATATATCAAGCTAGTATATTTCGAAGCTCATTTTTATTGACACATATTTGATATTTGTACATATTTATGAGGCATATGTGGTATTTTGTTACATCCATAGACTGGAATCATCAAGTCAGTGCATTTGTGGTGTTCATTGCCTTGAGTATTTATCATTTCTATGTATTGGGAACTTTTCAAGTCCTCTCTTGTAACTGTTTTGAAATATACAATACATTGTTGTCAACCATGGTTACCCTACTGTGTTGTTGATCATTAGAACTGATTCCTTCTATCTAACTGGACGTTTGTAACCATTAACCAACCTCTTTGCATAGATCAGTGTTCTAAAGTGTTTCCTCTATGTTTTCTTTTTCCCTCCCCCTACTCACACACCTTTCCAGCCTCTGGTCAATCATTCTATTCTCTGACTTCATGACATCAACTATTTTAGCTCCCACATATGGGGGACAATGTGCAATATTCATCTTTCGATGCCCAGCTTACTTCCATTAACATAATGACCTCCAGTTCTAGCCATGCTGTTGCAAATGACAGCATTCCATTCCTTTTTTGGTAGAATAGTATTTCATTGTGTTTTTATGACACATTTCCTTCAACCATCATTGATGGACACTTAGGTTGATTCCATATCTTTGCTATAGTAAATAGTGTTGCAATAAACATAGTAGTGCAGGTATAAATTTGATAAACTGATTTTTTTTCCTTTGGATAAATCCAATTGTGGATTGCTGGATCATATGATAGTTATGACTTTAGAAATATCTATACTGTTTTCCATAGTGGCTATACTAATTTACATTCCCACCAGCATTATATATGAGTTCCTTTTGTTCCATATCCTTGCCAGCATCTGTTATGTTTTGTCTTTCTGATAACAGGCATCCTGTAATTTTATTAATTGATTTCTGGTTGTTTTGTATATCTTTTGGTCCCTTCTTTATCTCTTACTGTTTATCATTGTGGTCTTGTGGTTTTCCATAGTGATAACATTTGAGTCCTTTGTATTTCTCATTTGTGTGTTTGCTGTACTAGTGGGTTTTGTACTTTTGTGTGTTTATATGATGGTGGATAATGCCCTTTCACTTCCACATGTAGGACCCCCTTAAGCATTTCTAGCAGGGCCAGTCTGGTGGTGATGAATTCCCTCAGCTTTTTGCTGGGAACGACATTTCCTCTTCATTTATGAAGGATAACTTTGCTAGGTATAGTATCCTTGATTGTTAGTGTTTCCCTCCACCCCAGTATTTTGAATATATCACTCCATTCTCTCCTGGACTGTAAGATCTTTAAATAGGTTTTCCATCATTTCATTTTCTCTTTGCTCTCTGGAACACCAAAAATTTGAATATTTGGTCACCATATGGAATTCCATTTCTCACATAGGGTTTGCTCATTTTTTTTTTCTTTACTTTTGCCTGACTGAGTTATTTCAAAGGAACTGCCTTTGAGGTATGAAATTCTTCTTTCTGCTTGATCATATCTATTGTTGAAGTTTGGAATGTATTTTGCATTTTATTTAATGAGCTCTCTTTAGTTCTGTTATATGGTATCCATCTGTTTGGTTAATTTTTCATTCATAACCTAAATTGTTTTCCTGATTTCTTTGTATTATTTTTCTGTATTCTCTTGTATCTCACTAAGCTTCTTTAATATCACTATTTTGAATTTTTTTTCTGGAATTTCTTCGATTTCTTTTTGACTGGAATCTGCTGCTGGATAATTATTGTGTTACACTGGAGATGCCATATTTTCTTGCTTTTTCATATTTATTTTGTCCTTATGCTGATATCTGTGCACCTCATGTAACAGTCACTTCTTCTAACTATTTGGATTTGCTTTCACAGGGGAGAACTTTTTTCTGAGGATGTATCAATGATGTTGGTTGTGTAGGTTACTTTAGTTTTGATTCTGGATATGTATAGTAGTGTAGTCTCCATATGATTTCCTTGGCTGTAAACAGTGGTGTCTGTGATTTTCTTAGTGTTATATGGTGTGATTGTCAGTGGAGGTTGTGGCGAAGTTTTCCTGGGGATGAGGACACCAGGTGGACTTATCCGTGGGCCCCATCGTTGGCAGCAGCTAGAAGCTAGCTAAGCATGCCTATCTTTTATCCCCAGGACAATGTATGCTAGCACCAGTGTTAACAGGTCTAGGTAGACTGATTCTTGGGACTCCAGGCAGCTTGCTCAGGTGCTGGTAGTGGTGGTGGTGGTGGCCCAGGTGGGTCGGCATGTTCTCAGACCCCTGGGCAGCTGGCATGGGCAATAGCAGCAACAGTGGTGGGACAAACCTCTGGCTTCTATGCAGTTCATGCTGGTGTTGATGTTGGCTGCAACAGGTTGGACAGGCTTGGACAGTCCCTAGGCCTGTGCAGGTGGCACTTGCAGGTGGTTGTCCACTGTGATGGTAGAGTCAGATTAGGTGGGCCTACTTTGAAGCTTCTAGGGGGAGTGTTCAGGTGCCAATAGTGGAAAACTGGGCTGGGTGGTCCTCAGACTCCTGGATGGCATACTTGAGCACTGGGGTAGTGCTGAGCCAGGTGGACCTGTTCTCAAGCCCCCTGGTGATGCATGCAGGGGCTGATCCTCAGGGCCAAGGCAGAATGTTTGCGTGGGGGTGACAATTGTTGCACTGCATATGGGGGAATACAAGATTGCTTTCAGTTGCAGCAACCATCTGTGGTGGGTGGGAGAATGCACTGTGCTCATGCTTTGTTCCTAGCCCCAGTGGCTGCTACAGGCAGAGGAGTTTGTTTTGGGGGTGCATGAAAATGTGTGGTGACTTTGCTGCTGGGGACAATGGGGCTTTGCCAATGACTCCCATGTCAGCCTTGGTGGCAGCAGCCAGCTGTGGTGGTGGCTGCAGGAGGGGAATATCAAAGAGGCTCCTGAGATATGGATAAGGAGGACTGTTGGGCCCCCAGGCAGGGTGCAGTCTGGAGGGCTGGGCTCTCAATAAGCCACCTTGATGTATAATTGCATAGGGCTCAGGGTTGGGTGAGACCCATTGTCAGCTCCCTCTTTGGAGCAATGCTCTTATGTGGTCTCCAGGCATTTCCCTAAATTAGTCTCAGGGACTATAATGGTCTAGGGGTTTTCCCATGGCTAGGTTGCAGGAGTTTGTGGTGGGATGTGGACTACTTGGGGTCTTTTACTTCCCCTGAAAAGGAGTCTCTTCAGGATCTCAGCCAATCCTGGTCAAGCAGGCTGCCTCGCCTCCCTCTCCTTCCTTGCTTTTGGTGTTTCCTGTCACTTCTCTGTTGAATCCCAGTGTTCTCTCTTAGACTATCTATTCACAATATGATTACATACCCCCTATTTTGATTGTTCTTTGCAGAGGAGGTAAGTACCAGTGGCCTCTAGTCAGTCATCTTGAAGCTTCTCAATTTAGGAGCTTCTCTTTCTTTTATTATTTTTTTTAATTAACTTGGGGTTAAAATCAGCTTTACTAGACTTTGTGAGAATTAAGTAAGAAAATCAGATGCATATTTCATCATCTATGTCACAATACTATTGTAAATCTCGGGATGTGAGGGTATGTAAACTTTTGGATGGAGAAAGAAAGGAAGGAAAAGAAGTAGAAGAAAAAGAGTGATAAAGGTGAAATTGTTTGCATGTGTATGTTCCCCAAAAGAATTGACTTACGGAGTTCCCTTCATATCAAATGTGTCCAGCAGTGGGCAGGGGAAGCTTGAGAGTTATGGCAAACCACATCATTGGGTTGAAAAGCGTAAGTAATCTTCAATACATTATTCCACACAAATTGGTTAGCTTGCTCTTTAAAAGTGGTCGTGTCTGTAAAATGAGAACCAAATGGTTAGCCTGTACTGCTTACCACTCATCAGGATGGATTCAGAAATAAACTTAGCAGATTGTGAAAAGAAGGTGTCATAACCTATATTTATTAATATCCTAGAGTTAGCTAACTATATCAACTAAAAATAAAGGAGAAGATACATTAGCTCTAGTTTACCTGACTCACAATGATTATTGTGCTTGGCAGAGTGATTGCATATTACAGTGTATCTCTAAGTCACACATACAGGTTACTAGTACCAAGATCACACCTCTTCTCTGTAGGCAACAAAGAGTTCAAATCTAATCTTGCGGTGTTCTTATATAGTTTCCTCTTGCTACTGTAACAAATTGTCATAAACTCAATTTCTTACAATAACAGAAATGTATTATCTTATAGTTCTGAAGTTCAGAAATTCAAATATGTCTCACTGGGCTAAAATCAAAGTTTCAACAGGGAACTCCAGGGGACAATTCATTTCCTTGCCTTTTCCTGCTTCCAGAGGTGGTCCATATTTCTTAGCTGTGGTCCCTTTCTCTGTCTTCAAAGCCAGCAAAGGCTGATCGAGTCTTTCTCATGCCATATCACTGACATAGACCCTTTTGACTCCTTCTTCCACATTAAAAACCCATGTGGCTACATTGGGCCCACTCAGATATTCCAGAATAACCTCCCTTCTTTAATATCAGCCAATTAGCAATTTAAATTTCATCTGCTACTTTAATTCCTTTTTACCACCCAATATATAACATATGCAAGAGTTCCAAGGATTAAAACATTTATATCATTGGGAGTCTATTATCTTTCCAACCACAGTCCTGTATTCCTCTCTGGGTCTCAATGACTAATGCCTTAAAGCTTGTTCTGTCCCTTCTTGTCTCTTTTTGCAAAAAATGCAAATATAAGTAAGAGTGGTTCAAATAAGGTTTATCACAAAACATTATCCTATGCATTGAGAATAATCTAAAATTGTATTATTTTTCTTTTCAGCAATGGCAATGAAATACTTCTTGGTTTTAGTTGCTGCTATTGGATTCCTTCCTATTTGGGCCAGAAGAGTATGTAATGATTGTATATTTCATAATTACTTTCTAGATAAAGATAAAAGCTAGCATTTTAACAGAACTCACCATGTTACAGCTCTGTTGTGAAATAACTACACACATTATTCACCTGGTTCTCACAATAGGCCTATTAGGCAAGTACTATTCTTAATATAAAATACCATATCATATAGGGGAGGACCACAGACTGGTCTGCCAAGGTCACATGACTAGCAAGTGGCAGGGCCTGAAATTTACTTAATTGGTATAGCTCCATGGGCCCATACCTATTTCATTACAGACTCTCTGAATAATACAAAAGAAGCTGAGAATGTAGGGGAGAAACTACTTCTTTACAACCTACCCATACATTTTCTATGAGTAAATGGGGGGGAGGGGGAAGCACAGTTGCTGTTTTTGTTCTCAGATAGGGTAAATATGTCATCATTATCCTGAATGAGCTATATAATTTGTATTTACAATAAGAATTTAACACATTAAAATGAAATATAAAATGGGAAGGTGCCAATAGCAAAGAGAGATATGAGGGGCTGTTAGCAATGGAATCAACATATAAGGCCTGAATCTCACTACTTATTAAAAACAAAACTTTAACAATCACAAAATAGAAATAAAATATTCAATGATGTAGTAAGGAGTAGGTCACTAATATTTTATGATCAGCTAATAATATTCACCCTTAAATAACCTTAATAATGTGAATAAAATAATATACATTTTCATTTACCCAAAATATTTTATAACAAGCTGAAGTCAATAGCTTTGATATAGAAAATGAGTGATTTTTATATTTACATAGGCCAGGTAAGAGAAACCAAAAGTGATAGGCATTTAATGTTATTGGTGAAAGAGAATCCATATGCATTAGGCTGTTAGACATTAGTCTGGTGGGTTGGTGTTTGGATCCTATCATTTATACCTCTTCACTAAAGAGACACTAGGTAGTGCTCTTGTCCAATAGCCAATAATCCTCTAGTAATCTGGAATTACAGTATTGAAGAAGACTTTCCTTCCTTCCCTCTTATTCTCTGACCATTTTACTCCCCCAATGTGGAAGAGTGATTGTTATACTTCACATTAGGAAAAGCTAACCAGAAGTATAAGCACTATTCCAGAGGAACAAGAGAAAGGTGGACAGTACAAAACCTACATTTGCCTTCAAGACCTAGTGCTATGCTGTCTAGGCCACTTGGCCCAAGTTCTGGGAGATAGCCTGGCCCAGGTTGCCATGTGAAAGGAGGAATCAGTATCACTAGTTAAAAACCCAGAGCAAAATGTAGATGCGTAGAACTCTCATTCAAGGAAACCAAAATCTGATCCATTTACTGACCAGGAATCCAAAAGAAAAGTGTTTACTTTCTACAGCAGAATTATGGGAATATTTGCATATATTCTATAAAGAGTTTTCTCATGAAATGAAGGCTTGAGAATTTCAAATTAAAATAAGAAGTTAAGACAAATTAAGCCCAAAATACAAATTTATTACATAAACTTTAACCATGAATCCCAATCAAAGTAAATAATAAGGTGTTCCAATTTTCCCAATAAAGATAATAGTATTCTTTCTTTTTTCAGACTCCAGTGGAAAGCAAATAGACTACCAAATCTGAATCTTATTTTAAACTTCCTCCAGTGTCAATTTGCTGGGATATGAGGCATCTAATCAAAGCTAACTCACTTAACTACTGAGATATATAGTTTTCCATGATAATCTGGCAGACATGACACAAAAATACCTTTGAAGGAAAGGCATAGGGAGTTATGATCAGGTAATAGGCAGGCCCGACCTTGTCTGAGGTCATTAGAGACTTCTCCAAGGACATGGTAGACCTGAGATCTGAAGAATAAGTCAGCCTTGCATGCTGAAAGGGTGTACTACCAGAGGTACAGACCCGGGCAAATAATGCAAGACAGGATAGAATGGGAACACTGGAAATAACAAAAAGAAAATCAGTGCGACTACAGCAGAGAAAACTAGGGGAACATATCTTAAACAGAGGCTGAGAAATAAGCATGGCCTTCAAAGGCCTTGTTCAAGATTTAATTCATCTTCCGCAGTTCAAACTGTGGAAGACTTTTAACAGGAGAGTGACTTTATTGTGTCTATGTTTTGAAATTTTTACTCTGGTTGATGTCTCCAGAATGGATTAGGAAAGAATGGATTGGGGATGGGGAGAGAGAATATCGAGATAATAAAGCATTAGTGGATTCTGGAAAGCCAGCAAAAAGGCCAGGAAGGAGCCACAGTCAGTCCAGGTAAAGGAAGAGAAATCTGAGAGGAAAGAGTAAAATGAAGAGAGTGTGTTGTCCCTGACACCAAGAGAATTTCTATCCTGAAAGCCTAGTCAAAGGAGCCATCTGCCAATAGACCAGGTAGGATAAAGTTATTAAAACAACATTGGATATACAACTTGAGTTTGCCAGAGACCTTACTGGAAGTTGTTACAATGTGTAGTTTCTCAGCCTCAGCACTACTGAGATTTTGTATGGGATAATTCTTTGTTGGTGCATGCTGTCCTGGGCCTTGTGGGAATTTAGCAACAACACTCCTGGCCTCTTTTCACAATAGCACCATTCCCTCACCAAGCCCATGGTGACAACCAAAAATCTCTCCAGACATTGCCTAATGCCTAAGGAAGGGAGAGGTCACCTGACACAGAACCACTGTTTTAGTGTAATGATAGAGGAAAGGTGAACGCAAAATTGTATTACTTAAAGGGTGGGCAATTGTGGACAGCCAGGATTGACAACATGCTCCAGAATTTTGATAGGATAGAAGAATAGAGAGAGAGAACAATAGTTGTTCTCTCTAGTTGATAGATAGTTGAATGGGTAAGTGAGGTAAATGAAGAAATGTCTGTTTCTTTGAAGGGACAAGCATGCTCATGTAACACACCATTGAGAAGAGCCAAGGAAAGTGGTTGAAAATAAACAAAATGAAAAGAAAATAAATAATGTGAAATTTTGAGAAAGGTGGAAGAGCATGGACTAAAATAACACTGGTGGAGAATTGAGCCTTAGAAAGTATGACCCATTCTCTAGTACTACAGAAAAGGAGGAAAGACAGGGGGCAGATACAGGTAGATTGGTGGACTGGGTGAAAGAGTTGAAACAGCTGGCCTCTGATGGCTTCTTATTACTGAAGGAAGTAGGTATTTCACAATCTCCTGAAAGAAGCTAGTTGTGAATAGGGGAGAATGCAAACATTCTATAATAATGTGGAGAAAGAGTGACTTAACCAGAAAATTGATTAGAATTGATGAGCATAATTAAGGGACAATTTGAGGATCAGTCATATTGACTTGGGGTGATACTAATATTCATCATTTCGTGTGATATTTTTCTGGCAATGCTCAGCCCACAATGCAGGGGCTTGTTAGCCTCATCCAAAGTTGGAGTATTCCTCAATGAGTATTTCTAGGTGAGGGTGTACAAATAAAAGAGTTAGTATTTTAGGAAGAGAGTTACTGAAATTAGAGAACATGGGTAGAGAAGAAAGACAAGACAAGAGAAGGCTAACAGAGAAAATGCAGAATGAGGTAGAAGGCAAGATTATATTGAATAGTCAGAGTGGTTGTCCTTAGCAACTTGGAAAGACAGGAAATTCTGGTCAGGCAGGAAAATGCTTAACCAGGTGATTTGAAAGGTGCAGTGTCTGGGAAAGATCATGAGATTTAGGGGGTGTCCAACCAAGCGGGAGCTCAAGAGAATTGGAGGAGAAATTTAAAGGAGGAAGATTTCAAGAGCCTAAGACATCAGAGGGTTGGAGTCATCTATGCGGATGTTAAAGTCCCTCGAGGTGACTGTAGAATTTTGGGTAGACGGGATGACTTTATGTTGGGAGACCCAGTTTCCACGAATGAGAGGAAGTGAGAAGAAAAATCATTATAGGATGTTAAATGAATGTTCGGGGATGAGCTGGTGAGGCAAATGTCGTGAGTTTCACTGGAGCAAGGGTTTTTAGAGGAGCAATGAGAGTTATAATCTGGAAATCATATGTGGAACCTTGTGAGTCCTCAGCCTCTTCTCAAGTCCAAATCAGAGCTACTTGCAACGTCAGAATAAAATGGTACCACATAAGTATGTCCACAGAGGCAGTCTCTAGAGAGATCTTCTGAAACTCTATATTTATGTCCCATCCCTACACCTTAAAACTGCCGATATAAAATGAATGACAAAAACTATTTCTGTATTTGAGCAAGATATGGTGCTGGATCCTAGCCATTCATAAATTGTTTGGTTACCTCATGTGGAAATTGAGGAAGAAAGAGACATCACTAAAATTATATTAATAGTATATTAGTTTTGCCACATTTTTTTAAAAAAGCATCAAGTATATGAGATATATCACACACACAGAAAAGATGCTCTTCATAGCAAATTAATGCTAACTTAATATATAACTTAATATATTTTGGCCATAAATTTTTTCTGGTGAGTTGCAGGATAAAAGATAAATAAGTGAAATGAACTGTCTCCAATTCTAGATTGTAGGCTGAGTTTGAATTCTATTTTATACTTTCTCACTCATACACTTGCAAACATTGATGCTTTTTCATATGAACAGGAAAATGATACAGAATCTGATTTAATAACAATTGAGTCTTTGTACTCAATAAAGGATCTCTTAGTTTGGGTTCTCCGGGGCAGATACTATCAGACAAGGATTCAAGTGCAAGTGGCGTATGAGGGAGGCAAAGAGAACACTTGTTGAGGGGTGGAGGACGTGGAAGAGAAGTCCATCAGTAAAAGGTATGATTTCAAGACATCTCCCACTACGGTCCTTATTGTCCAATAAAAAGTCCTTTAATGCGGTCCAAAGTATATATCATAAATTTGAAAAACCGTAGTCACCAGGACACTGTTTTGAAGACTACTGTACTGTCAGCCTGACATTCAGAAATCCTCAAAACCAGAACTGGAGAAATGGAATCTAAAATACTGAGATACCCTACATTCAAAAATGCGGTAGATCAGTTTATTCAATGTAAATATAAACTGTAAATTCTCATTGCCTATAGGTCTGCAAATACATATGTGACAAATTCCACTTAAAAGAAGGAACACTAATTAATATTTTTCTGGTAACAGGCAAAACCACCTAAAATCCTGTTTTACGAACTTGTCACTGAACTGGCAGCTGTACGAGAAGAAATCGTTAACACACACAACACCCTTAGGAGAGGAGTGATTCCACCAGCCAGCAACATGCTGAAGATGGTAAGGTCAAACCACAGCAACACCAGTGATCGCAATCATTGTAATGGGGTTCACTGAGTTTTTATTAAGTCCTATGCACTTTCCATGTACTAAACGTTTGATCTTCACAACCCACTTATGATATAGTGGAGGAAGCAGAGACCCAGAGGAGGTTAAGTAACTTTCCCACAATCATACAGTTAATCAACGACAGAGCAATGATCCCACCCTAACAGGTTTAGCTTCATTCTTATGTACCATAGGACAGAGCTTCTCAAACTTCAGTGTGCTTAAGAAGCACTTGAGGAACTTGGTAAAGCACAGTTTCCTGGACTCCATTCTCTGATATCTCAATACAGGAAGTCTGACTTGGGACCCCACAAACTCCCAGGTGATGCTGCTAGACCGTATAGCAAATGTTGATTAACAAGTTCCCCGGGTATTTCGTAGCTGTCTTCATTGGGCAATAGCCCAGAGGCTAAAACACTCTTCTGAGGACCAAGATCCCAGATATTTAACTAGTTGAGGTGGCCATGTAAATACATGCCAGCAAGTCTACTCCCCAGTTTTGTTGCATCCTCATAAAGCTTAGAGAAATTATCTTTCCACTATGAACTTGGTGAGTTCTGCTACAACAAATTTAGGAAAGTATCAGATGTAGGAAGTGATTAACCTCACATTTACCATCCAGCAGCATCACTCAGGTTTATAGTCTATATAGACAACCTTAGCCTGCTTCCTTGAACCCTGGACTGGCCTAGAGAAAGAAGGGTTAGAAATAGTGCAGGCTCTGGAGGGTGATTCTATGGACAACTTCCTCATGCAAATGGCATAGGGAAGGGAGCAAGTAAATAGAAGGATTTTGAAATATTTATCCTGGTCATCTTAGCATGCAAAATGTTATTTGAACAAAACAATAAAAATCAACAGCTATCATAGACATTCTTATGTTGTAAGAGTTATAGCTAACATGTATATAGTGCTTCTTATTGACAGACAATCTTCTAGTAACTTGTTACATTAACTCATTAATCCCCCCAATACAATCATCTCCATTTTACAGATTATGAGCCTCAGGGAAACTAAGTAGCTTATTCAAAATCCTAAGTGCTGGAGCCCAGATTCAATTGCAAGTGGACCAGCTCCGAGGATCCTGTTCTCAATATCACTTACCTCCCTTAGGAAAAACAGGCTCCAAACTCTTTGCTTGCTAGAAGAAAATACGTGTGGCCAAGAGATACAAAAGATGTTGAAGAAAAATGAAAAATATAGCTTTAGAGTTCAGAGACCTTATTACAGGTGAAAGACAAATACAAAGGAAACACTGGGAAATAATATGAGAATGCATATATTCAAGAGCCAAGGTACAAAGTTATGAAATATCAGCAAGATAGTAACGTAAATGGATCAGTAAAACTGAGTAGTATTTCAAAGGAAACATGAAGGTTGAATTGTTCCTATAGGATATGTATAGGTTTGAACTGAAAGAATTAGCAGCAGCACCTTTAAGGAACAACAATAGGACTGAAAAGCTAAACACAACTACCAACAGAGATTTTGTAAAAAATTTTTTAAAAAAAGCTTGTGTACATAAGATTAAGACCTGATTGGGTAGAGCCTCTTGTTAAAGCTTTGGGACGGCAGCCATGAATACTCATTTGTAGTTTTAATTTTGGATATATCACAGAGAAGGGGGACCTTACCAACATTAATCAGAGGTAATGTCCTAGGCAGCTTCTTCAAAGTGGTCTGAACTGCAGAATGAAAATGCGTGTTGCAGGTAAATTCTCTTTATAAGATAAGCAAACTCCAGGGTAGACATTAGCAGCCAGGATGTTTATGGAGGAACAATCTCCAGATTTACACCTACCTGTGGAGGTAAGGAGAGAAGCAGGGAGAAATTGGTCTGTGTTGTACTCACAGCAGAAGCCTCTGCTTAACCCATGGGAAGGCTATAAAACTAGAAAAGCTTTTCTGAGTTGTCCTGAACTACAGAAAGAAGGCCTGGCATTTATATCTACCAGTTCTTAAATGTAGGCTGCCCCAGTGAAGGGAGTAATCCCATGGATGATGGCAATTTTCAGAGAGGGCAGACAGTAGAGCTATCTCCGGTGGGGACTTCCAGCTGCTAGGGAAATAAATTGTTCAGTGTACATAGGTACCTGGATGGTCCATCAAAGCATTCACTATAAGCATTTAGCTGTGATTCAACCTGATAAATTCCAGTTCTAAGCATCTAGTCATTTGATCATAACAGGCAAATTTTCTTTACTAGTGAGCATGATAGCATTTCCCCCTGCCTGGAAATCCTACACCCTGACAGTTGTGTTGTTGGTCTCTGCCCCTTCAGTTAGACTCATCCATGAATAAAATACATCTTTTCTTGAATAAAACAGCCAAAACCTGCAAAACCACGTTTTTACTCATTGCTAGGCTGACATTTAATTCATCTCATGGTTTAGTAAATTCATTAACCTGAAGGGTAAATCTAGACAACTACCACAAGATGGCAGCATATACACGTAATAGTTAAATTTCATTTCATGCCCAGGAGAATATTGAAAATCTGAGTGTCTCCAAACATTCTAAAGAGTAGCTAAAAGATTTGCATAAAAGCATGTAGTAAAAACAAACTCTACAACTTTTATTGCTAATGTGGTATATGTAGATATAAGAACAGCCTTTTAAGTGGATGTAAACACCGTGATGATGATGAAGTATTTGGGAAAGACCCTTTGTCACAAGAGTATCGTACAGAATTTTCCCCTTTCATCTTTCTTAGAGAACAGATGTTCCTGAGTCGTACCCAACAAAATGCTTCAACTCTTTAATATTGAGAGTAAAGAACACAGACTCTGAAGCCAGAGACTAACTGGATTCAAATTCTTTTTGTCATTTATTGGTAGTGTGGTCCTTAAGTTATTTAAAATCTTTATGACTCAGTCACCTTATTTGCAAATGGTAATAATAATAGCATTTCCCCCCTAAAGTTGTTGTGGGGTTAAGTGACAGAAAATACCTACAGAATTGGTGACAGATTCTGGCATGTGGTGTTAGCTCTTATTAGTATTCATACTTTCAGACGGAAATGTGTGACTGTACTTGCTTCTCATCACAGCGATCATTTATTTCTTGAGCATAAAGCATAAGATTTAGGAGATCATAGATTGTTTTGCGTGGATTATCCCATTAAACTTTTTCAACAAATCTTTGGGTATGAATTACAGGTCAGCTTTTACAGATGCAGAAACTGAGATTCAAAGAGGCAAAGTAGCATGTCTGAGTTAAAACCACTAATAAATTACTGGTCTGTTTTACTGGAAGCATTTACTTAAAATCTTTTTTATCCTGCCCTAATTTCATTTTGCCTTTATTTGAAGATATTCATTAAAGGGGGTACAAGTGTTTTTGTTACAAAGATACCTTGTACTAATATTCTGCTTAAGTCAGGGCTTTTGGTATTCCTGTTACTAGAATATCATTCACCTACCCAATAGATAAGTTTGTATCCCACATCCACCTTCCCAACCTCCCCCTTTCTTGGTTTCTTATGTCCTTTCTACTGCTTTGTGTCTGTGTGTACCCATCATTTAGTTCCCACTTATTGGTGAGAACATATAGTTTTTGGTTTTCCATTCCTGAGATACTTCACCTAGGATAATGGTCTCCAATACCATCTAAGTTGCTGCAAATGGCATCATTTCATTCCTTTTTATGGATGAGTAGTATTCCATAGTATATCTATACCACATTTTCTTTATCCACTCATGAATTGATGGGTACTTAGGCTGATTCCACATCTTTGAAATTGTGAATTGTGCTGCAATAAACATTAGAAGGCAGGTGTCTTTTTGAAGAAATGACTTCTTTTCCGTTGGGGCAGATGCCATTTACTTAAATTTCTTACTACATCTGGGATAGAAGCTACATCTAAACATCATTATTGAATTTTGAATTTGTGATTCTGAGGTTCAATACAATGAATTGAAATTTTTGTCTTTCTCTTCCTATCAGAATATTTAAGAATAATCTCATTTTGTAATTTTTTAGTTTACACAATTGAAGATATCACAAGTATGGATTTTTAGAAACAATAGAATTTTATCATGGAAATGTTACTTAGATCATGTGCTTTTTTTTTTCTTTTCACTGTAGAATTGGAGTGAAGGGGCTGCACAAAATGCCAGAGCTGTTTCGACATATTGTGATATAGTTGAGAGCAACCCAGTTGAGAGGAGAATTGGAAGTAAGTATATGTCTATATGAACCACCTTTGTACTAAAAACAATATGTAAAACAAAATATTGTTAAGTAACCTGGCAAGAATAAGTTAAGTCATCCAGTTTTTATTTGTACTTGCTCATACATGGCAGTAAACTGTGGCCTATTATTATTAAAGTTTAAAATTTGGGTATTCAAAATTTCAGATCCCAAATTCTAACCATTAGGAGAAAAGAATCAAAGCTCTCAGTATTGCAGAAGAGTTGAGGGCAGCTAGAGACCTAGAAGGTTTCCATTCTACGTTGGTACCTCAGGTACCCACAATTTGGAATACTAGTACAGTTGAGAAGTGAATATACGCAATTCTGTTGAGCTGCATATAAAACAATCTGAGATAGTAAAAAATGAGCCTATTTTAAGGCATATGAATTAGGTAATTTACTGCTGTTTTCAAAAAAAAACTGTTAAAACTTCCTACACAGTACACATTAATAACATTTATGAGAACTATTTTTTATTAAAAATAATTAAAAAGTAGTAGTGTAACTTTCGTATCTACAGATCATTGGGACTCTTAGCCCAATGCTCTTGAAAAGTGAATTAGCAACATAGGTCCTCTCTGCTCCAGGGAAAGGCAGATCACTCCTAAACACCCCTGTTCTACCAAGAGCCCACTCCATTAACGAATGGCTAAATAAACAAATGTTTCAAGGTCATTGCGTAATGAATACTCGTGTGTGGCTGCTTTTAATCATGGACCCTGTTACAACTCCTATGCTTCTCTGAATTTGGTGTCACTTATCTCCATCAGCTTGGAAGAGCCAGAGACTGGAATGTTGGTTGATCTGATTTCAAGGCTTGTTTATTATCTCCTATTGCCAAATTCTCACTAAACTTGAGCACCACAGGCTCATTAATCAATGAGAAAGAAGACTCTTAGTAGGGTAACAACTGTGTTTACCTGTTCTTATAAGATGTTACCAAGACGAGCAAGTGAACCATTATGTGAAATAAAGGTGAAGAAAGTCTTCTCGCATAATGTTTCCAATTTGTTAAGAGTATGAGCCCTATCTCCTCCTTTCAGGTACCTTTTGCGGGGAAAATATGCATATGACAACTCAAGCTGTTTCATGGTCACACGTAATTAGAACCTGGTACAATGAGTCTAAATATTTCAAATATGGTCAATGGACATCAACGGATGATGACAAGGCTACTGACCATTACACTCAGGTAACCTGTGCAACTGCAAATACACACATTGGTCAAGAAACCATAAACTTGTGTGGGGAATGAGTGAGAAACAACTGCAAAGCATTCTACCTGCTTATTGCAATCTTTACTCAACCTGGGGAGCTCCTCTTATAATTTGGAGCAAAAGGAAGTGTGATTCCCTCAAAATATGGCTTAGAGAACCTTTACAGACTGCTAAGTACTGGCCAGCCAAGAAGTGATAAAGATGGAATTTAAATCAGGGTCATTTTGCCTCAAAAGCCAACTCAGTACTGTACACTATGCCTGCTTTCTGGCCAATAAAAAAAGTTCCTTCCATGCTTTGATTTTTATATAAACACCAAGCAGCCTTCATCACATTGACTGATTCTCCACATAGGTTGGAGGAGAAAGAGAGAATGAGCTAGAGTTGATGATGGCTGTCATGTTTCTTGGTGAGAATTCATAAGTAAAATTTCTAGTTCTAATAAGAATGAGCCATGGATGGTTGACATAGGGTTCTGATTATCCTTAAATATATCAGATAATATGATCTGAGAAACGAATCTCATGCATAACCACGACCAGCCCATGTACAGAATGGCAGCATTGAAGGCCCTTTTGAAGATCAGCCTGTTCATTGTAAAATGATCAACATCACTTCCTTGTTACCTATTCTCTCTCTTTATCCATCTCTCATATCCCAGAGAAAACAAATATTGGGATTTTTTTTTTTAGTTAGGAAGTACATCCTGAAGCCCAACATATTCCCAAAGAAAACTAATTTAGCTGACTGTATATATAGAGAGAGAAAATGCCGATTATCAAGTCACCCTGTCCTGTCAACCTGACTTGATGGTCTTCACCTGGTTTCCATTCTTTGTAGCCGTTATGTGCATGGGTATGTTACCTAGACATGTGGGATCCTTCCTGTTTCTGTGACTTCTTATTAAGCTATGCCTCAAATAGATATAAAAGCAAACATGTCTACTTTTAGTTGTGGATAAAAATATTGATATTGTGGTTATTTGGTGATATATCAAATATGTAACAAAATAACTCTTTATCTTTGCAGATTGTTTGGGCCACTTCTTATCTCGTGGGCTGTGGCATTACATCATGCCGCAAAGGAGGGTTGCCTCGGTATATCTACGTTTGTCACTATTGTCATGAGTATGTATTACTAGTTTCTCACAACTTTTGAAAATATAACCCCATACAGTAACCTAATCTAGTTTTGTAAACATTATTTTTAAAAATCAAATATTTTTTCAGAATGACTTACCAGCAGTCTTCCTGTATACCATTGATTTTTCATATTGCTATTACATAAAGGAAACAAATTCTTAAGCAAATAAACAAGGATATTTTGAGCTAGCTCAAGCAAACAATCAAGGATATTTCAACACAACAAAAATATTTTTAGAACACAAGGTTAGAAATGCCGTGGAGTCTTAGGAAGGGAACAAATAGAAAAAGCCTAATGTTTTGCCCTGTAGTTAGCTTTCTAGTTCAAACACTGAAATATGTCTCTCTTTAGAAACTAAATTTACATGTTGTAGATTCTATCACAGTTACTACTCACAAATCCTAGAAAATGTAATCTGATTGTTTCAGTGAGGGTCAGATGTGCTCACTCATCCCATCAGCTGTGGTTATAAAGCAAGACCACACAAGACAAGGATGACTGCAAGGCCCACTTGTGTGGCTTAAGTGGTGATTATCAGGCGATTATCCTGCTCTGAAAACAGAGCCCCCTGATATTTGACCACACATGCCAGTTTCTTATCACTTCTGCTGATGAAAGTTGATGTCCGGTCTCTACATGTCTCTTTCAGCTACATGTATTTTCTAGGTTCACACATAAGCCTTTCCTCCATAATATGAGCTCCAAGAATGGTGTGTAACCACTGCTTCCCACGTATGTAGCACAATGAAAGATGTTCAGTCTGAATCAATGAACATAACTGATTTGATAACTACCACACTTATATTTTAAATGGGGCCTCCAAATATCACAATATATTCCCTAGAATATAATATATTCATATAACTCTATATGAGCTATTATCTGCTCTTACTATGTCTTGCTTTCAATAGTTAAAATTTGTTGGCATTTTATCTACAGAATATGTGCTGAAGACAATAAGATCTCTTGGTAGCTACAACACATCATTTGCACTACGTCTTTGCAGGGGTTGGTGATTTGTGGTGAACTCCAAATGATGCAAAAAAAGAAAAGTACATGAACAGCTGTGATAGGGGAATTTTCTTGGTTGAAGCTTAGTCCAAGTCTCTTTGACTAAATTCCTTCCTAAATTTAGTAATAACTTTCTTTTATAAAGTGAAATTTTAATGGTTCAGATATCGAAGAAACAAACATCAGACAAAAAGCTTTTTAGACCAGAACATTTACTTTCTTCCTAAAATTACGTTAATTCAGAAGCAGATATTGTATTATCTACACACTGTTTTTAAACATCTGCAGGTTCAGAATTGCCTTTTCTAAGATTCCAAATTAGCCCAGAATTGAAGATTCTCATCTGCTTTCTCTTTTCCTCACTCCAACACTTTAGGTTCATTCATGGGGATGTATTTTCCTTTTTTATACACACCATGTGTTTTGACAAAAAGACATTAACAGGTATCAGGTTTCTCCCGACATAGTACAAGATGGAATTAGAACATCTCCAATTTGCCTCGCTTAAAATTTTTCTCTTAACACTGATGAAAGCCATGCCCTTCTACACGATGGCTTACCAAGTTCTTATTTGATATTAATTAGGCATTACTAGGTATTAATTAGGCATTACTAGGTATTAATAGGGAATATTGTTCTGTTGGAATTGACTCTACAGTCCTTTTGCTTGTTAGGATTTGACTATCCAAAGGTTCCAAGTACTGTTAGCTCTTCTTGATTGTCCAAAGAGACATACATTTACATTGCCTGAAAAATATTTTTATGACACCCGTATTTGCTGATTATACATACTAAAAAAAAATCATTTCTGTAAATCTAGAAATCTTGCACCCATCTTAAAAATTATTATTGGTTCTTTATGAGAATGTTTACACAATTTGTTTTTAAAATTGATTGTACGCAGTGAGTAAAACTTTATATTCATTTTCCAAAGACGGATTTTATTAGATCATTTTTTTTCCTTCTTTAAGGGGAAACGATCCTGACACAAAGAATCGACCTTATAAGACAGGCACCATATGTGGAGACTGTCCAAATGACTGTGAAGATAAACTTTGTAGTAAGTTTTACAAATTCAGTTTGCTTTAAAGTAACGCATTGATCTGGAACCATGCGTCCCTTTAATTAAGCACTGAACAATAATGCACTTTCCTATAACTTTCATCTCAATCTTACCACAGAAAATATCAACATTATTTTTGTTTGTCCCTCCCCCAGCCCCAGAGTAACCAAAGAAGACCGTTGATTTAACCTATGTCAGTGGACATTAGAAAGTCTAGGTCTGAGAATTTGAGTTCTCACTCAAAACATTAAAATATTTAATTAGAGTCAACTTGGATAAAATGTTAATGCAAGTGTAGATTTTTCTCTGCTCTCTAAAATGTTTCTAGGGCTCCCTTCTTGCAGCCCGTAAGTTACACACATTGCTCTCAGTTTACCAGTGTCCTCAGATTGCCTGCTGCTCGGTGACCCTGGTTGCCTGATCACTTCTCAGGGCATGAAGTTTTTGTACTGAATGATCCTTATCCTACTCTGTTTCTTCTGGAACTGCTAAAAAGTCAGCTGATGCTCACAGCATCTCTTATAGCCCTCCCTTTTATTTCTTAAGTGAGTCTTACCTAAAGTGAAGTATTAACCAAATGAGTGCCATTTACATGTTAATTCCCTTAGACAGTAAAATTTCCTTTTTTTTTTTTTTTTTTTTTTTTTTTTTTTTTTTTTTTTTGAGACAGAGTGTCGCTTTGTTGCCCAGGCTAGAATGAGTGCAGGTGTCATCTTCTTCTTTCTTTTTTTTTTTTTTTTTTTTTTTTTTAGAGCCTCTCTGCAAACATTTCTTAATCCCTGGGGATATTGTTGATTACAACCTTGGAAGGCCAGAAAATTTACTTTCCTTCACCTTACCAGGTCATTCTATTTGTTTTAAAGTAAGGGAAATGGATTCTTTTTCCTCTTCTTTTTCTCTCTCTCATTTCTTCTTCTGTTTTTTTCTTTTACTCTCTCTCTCTCTCTCTCTCTCTCTCTTTCTCTCTCATTTTCATTTTCTTCTCTCTCCTCCCCCTCTCCATTTCTCTCCCAACTTTGTTTACTCCATGTCTGAAAAGAATCAACTAATTACCTATGCCTTAGGGGAGGGAGGGATGATGAGCAAGTCAACTTTTTAAATTCTAGAAGAGAAAAGCAATGTATGCAGTGGTATGAAAACTGTAATAGAAGTAGAAGGAAAGTAGGAAAGAGAGAAATATTATTCAAGAAGATTAAACCTATGACAAGGAGGTATATTTCACAAGCCCTTTATTCCCCAATAAATGCACGAGAAGATGAGAGATAAAGAAATATACAAACTTAAGAATGGGATATATTGGGCAAAAACGATGCTGAAACGTAAGAATATGCAGGTTTAATCCATTTTATGTATTTCAAATAAACTTTATGAAAACAACACTTCTTGTTTATATTGGGAAATTATATAAGTTAAAAATAAAAGAAAAAATGAACTAAAACACCACTCAGACTCAAAGAAAAACCATGTTATTATAGAAGGAAAAAATATCCACTGTTATCATACTTCCTCAGAATACTATAAAACAGAATACATTGGGATAACAATGGGCAAATGATTTTAAAAAATAGTAGTAATAACCTTGGCAAATTATCGATCATGAGAAAAAGAAGCAGAAATACACTATCAATTGCTCATGCAGTAGTATAACTGTTAGGGACCGACCTTCCACAGCCCCACCGGACAGAAAAGCAGAGACATTGAGGATGCAATCACACAGAGGAGGTTTATTTTCTGGCTAGCCAGAGTCCAAGCCCCAGAGCACCAACGCAGTGGCCACTCTCACAGGCAGGGACCCCGACCGGAACAACGGCATGCCTTTATCCCACATGGTGCACAGCTGCGCACAAGCGACTACGCATGGATCATGTGTTGTCCTTTAAAATGATTGGTTGCCCACTATTGCCTTTTGAAATAATTGGCGGGTTGGTTGCCCTCTATTGCCTGATGGGCCAGTCGCCCGTGCTTCAATGACCTCATCCCATAATTCCCCTTACAGCGGTAGCAAGCAAGCACAATGACCAGAAGCAAAGGTTTGCAGTTAGCTCACTGCCCACCCAAGTAAATTCCGACAATTGGAAGAATTTCTCTGCCCTTCCTCTGTCCTACAAATTCCTCTGCCCTACATAACATCCACACTCTGTCTCCTGTTTTACCTTGATAAATCTACTATAGTCATTCTCCAGGTTACTGAAAGGTAAGCCAGTTTAATAATTTAGAAATGGGAAAACATATTGCATAGAAGGATATTGATGAAAATAATAAAGAGTACAACATAAATGTAAATGTAAAATGTATAAGACTGTTATAAACTTAATACAATGACTAGACTAGACTTTATAATTGAAAGAGAAGAGATATAATGGAAAGAGTTAAATTGACCATCTAATTATCAAGATTTAAGACTCAACAGTACATACTGAATTAAGGAAATTTTAAAGGGAGAGAAGTAAGTTATAGTTATACTTGCCTTCATATATTAAAAAAAAAGATCCATTCATTAGTTTCTATAGAGAAATTCAAGTTAAAGAATGTTTTGGTAAGTTTTTAATAGCCATGACCATAATTTTAAAATATTAGGTATCTTCATACTGATTAGAGAATTTTGTGTGTATTTCTCATGTGTACATACCTGAATATAGGTGTGTGCGTGCTCCTGGGATAGAGTAAGGTGAAGCAAATCACTATAATGTTGACTGAGATGACCTCTTGGTGGAGAGATTATATGCCTATCCTATATGTGCTTTTTATTCAATTTTTACTCTGGTTATATATTATTTCAAATAGTCCAAAGCAGATCTTCAATCATTAAATGATACAGCATTAGATGCTTAGGCTAAAAAATGAATGAAACTTTTAACATTTTATTTTATATTGCTAATGGCATTGAGGCTTTCAAAATGACAGTGTAATTGAAACAATGATTCACCTCCAGTCTGCTTAGATTGGATTTAAAAATTGTGATAAAAAACATGTTTTATAGGAAGACAAGAATATTATGTTTTTCTTTTAATACATGATCTCAACTCATCACCAGTTTTACTTTCAGGTTTAGTTCACTCATATTAATAAGATTTAATTAGCTATTTTTAATCAAATTTTTCTTTACGTCTTTCAGAAAATGGTCTCTTTCCTGTGAATGTGGTTTTTTTTTAAGACAATGTTGTGTAACTGTACTGTTTTCTTTTTCAGCTAACCCCTGCATCTACTATGATGAATATGCCCACTGTGAGCAACAAGTAAGAGGTTTTGGATGCAACCACGTATCAACTAAGCTATTCTGCCAAGCTACTTGTCTGTGTAAAACTGAGATAAGATAACCCTTTGTCGTGTGCAACTGTACTGTGCTGTGAAGATGAGGAGATGCCTGCTGGGCCACATCTTCTACCAACTTACTTCACTATCTTCTGCTGAATTTCATCTGATTTTAACTATGCTCAAGATCCTAACTTCTGTCCCAATATATCCTGAAATATATAAGTTTAAAACACAGTTTTAAACTTCCTCAGTGCTGGAATAAAAGCTCGATTTCAACATCAGTCTCAAGTTTAAATTCTTAGGTTGACATAATTCAACTGATGGCATAACTGGTCCCTCAACAGCACTTTGTGCTGTAGTAGAGTCATCTCTAGTTGAACTCCCACCTCTGCTTTCCCCAAGTCTCCAAACACCTGATGTTTGGCTTCCCTGCACAGCTAATATCCAGTAATAATTCTTAACTTTTTATTTTTACTTCTACTTTAAATCAATCATTAAAAAGAATCCACAAAGCAAACCAAGAGTCCAGTGTCAACTCGGAAGGTCAATATTACTTAATCGGAAGTGGTTTAAATGTCTCATTGTTTCATTACCACATTTATATGCACATTTGTGAAGCAGGAAAAAAAAAAAAAAAACGTGTACCATTAATTTAACAAAATCTGTATACAGCACTGATTACATACAAGATATGTGTATTTATAGAGAGAGAATATTGTCTCATTTATTGCAAAGAAATCATAAAAGATATATGAGAAACATAGCATGAAGTGAGAAATAAATAAGTCCCTAAAGACATACAGGTAAGATATTATTAGTGCCAGATATGCATAATTGCTTCTGTTTAGAGATTCAGGGAAGCCTCAAAGGTAGCATGAGGATTATTATTTGAGCAAAAAGGGTTGGAAAGGTTGTGATTATTTCAAGACAACAAAACAGCACAGGTAAAAGGCCTGCTAAATTAAAATGCATTGAAGCCTTAGAGAACATCGAAGGGTCTGATGTGGGCAAAGTGAAGGCTATAAATATTTGCTCGAATTTTAATATTTTGAGATTAAATTGATACTGGTTCTACCTACTTTTATATTTCTTTACCCATTTGAATACAACATTCAGGAAAAAAAAAAATGAATATGTGCTTTCCCAAAGTAAGCCATGCCTCTCACCCCATCTGTGTCATACAGTGGCACTTTGTCCCAGTTGCAAAAATTCTGTGAGGCTCCAAGAAAAAAAAAAGGCATTTTGAGAATGATGCCCTTTTGACATGATCCATGCCTTTCTATCTAGATCCATGAACATCGATCTCGTGTAAATGCTTCAGAACAATTCTCGGTTCTTATTTAGTCTGCACATGTTAGGTCTATCCAATTGATTATCTCTGTCTTCTGAGTAATTACTGTCAGCATAGGCATCAGGCATATTACTGTCAGCAGAACAGTGATTCATCCCAGGAGCATTGTAAGTAGGATGGGACTTTATGGCTGAAATATTCAATAACTGGAACTCATCTTTAAAAAAAAGTATCAAAATCGTAATAATTTACACCTAGAAAATTAAATGTATGTGCTGTGGGAAATCTTTACTCATTTCTGCATTATCAGGTATTATGATTTATCTTAGCTAACCAATGTAGCGTTAGGGTTTGGAGTGATTAATACCAGCCCTGATTTCTGAATTTTTCATGAAGTTTACTGTAACATATTGGCAGTATCAGTGTTGACTGCTACTGTACTCTTACACTACCTGTGCTCTCTCTAGACGTTAACACGAGGAGGAAGGTGAGGCTTCTCAAAATTTGCATTCCAATTACAACTCTTTTCACCTTGTGAGAGAGTGAGCATGTTCACATATTTATTGCAGGTGGGTGAGGGAAGAGGAAGGATAAGTCTCTGTATAATGAAAGTTCAAATAAGCAAGGAATAAAACTATGACTTTGTATTCTACAATTTTAAATAATGCGCTGGCTTATTTCATAGCACATTATATTTGTTAAATATAAAAAGTTTTTCTTTCTGCAAAAAATCTCTAAGTAAATCGACTGCATGAAAAGTACCCTGTAAGGAGGAAGAGGTGAGGGAACTTTCTCATGTACATTATTCTTCTTTTATCTCAAAGGCTCTTAGAATCAACCGTTATCGTTTGGAAAATCATAAAAAGAGCTATTTCATATTTTAGATGACATGGGAGAGAACTTTCATTTATAGTGCGACACCTGTTTAAAAAATGAGAAGTCCTACATCTCTTTCCAAATTTCACTGAATGTAGAATAAATAAATAAATATGAACAAACTATTGTGAAGCAATCTGTACTTTCACAGTAGTAAATAAATTAGTTCTAAGTGTATCATACAGAGGTTAAGAGCATGGGCAGAGATGCTGCCCAGCTAAGGTGAATTCAGGGTATAACAACTGACTTGCCCTGTGACCTTAACCAAGATGACTTTTCTTTGTCCTCAACTGTAAGTTGCACTGAGAGATAGTTATAGTACCTACTTCATGGGTTTGTTATAAGGATTGAATGAATTAATATGTAAAATGCTTAGAAACATATCTGGTGTTTAAAATGTGCTCAAAAAAATATTAGATGGCATTACGTTTCACAATTTATATTCATTTTCTTTACATCCCAGTGCTTGAGCACTACCTTTCAGACACAGTTGAAAGTTACTCCCTGATTCTTCCCCTTTGGGAACTCAGCACTGAATTGATGTTATGGTGATAAATGAACAATCTCCTCCCCAACCCAAATAAAATTAAAAGTATGGGATAATTTCTTAATACAACAAAGGGTTTTTCATAGAAATCTATAGTATAAAATCACCTTTGATTAAATTAAACGTTCAACTTAGGAGAAATGTATTATTTCACCACATTATTTAATAATTCAATACCAAAGATAGCTTTTATAGAATTTATGGGTGTATCCTAAATTCATTTTAAAAATAATTATTCAGTACTGACCCTTCCAAATTAAATTAAATTAAAAGATATGCTTTTCCTAATAAAAAATATTTATGTATAAATAAGAGAATGTTAGAGAATAGTTTTAAAATACTAGGGAAGGAAATTTGCACAAAATTGTGACACCAAAATCTTGAAGGCATTTATTTGAAGATGTCATAATTTTTCTGGAAAAATTTAAAAAACATATATCTCTAGGAAGAAGTAAAGCAAGGGAAAGAAATCAAGATTAAATTTTAAATATTTTGTTTTAAAAGGTCAGCACATAGTTGATCTATGGGACCTATGTATATATTATATAAATACATAAAAAAGAATCTATAGATTGCTAACAATGGAAAGTGCTGTGTTAGAAAACAGAGCAAAGAAAAACCACTAAATAGATTCAGAAATTCACAGACCATTAAACATAGAAAAGTTACCTATTTAATAATGATAAAATGAATTTCAAATATAGTTAGAATTCTGTTTTTGTGAAACTAGTAATAATTTATGTATATGATAAAATCTACAAATCTACAAATGATGTATGAAGAAGCAACCTCTCTCATACGTCATTGATGGAACCAAAAATCTGTAGAAAACCCCCTATTCAATGGTAATAAAGTGATATCGAAAGTGAACATGCTTTTGAGTCCATCAAATTCCCATAAAGGCATATATTATAATGAAATACTCACATGCAAAATTATGTTTCTATGAAACATAATGTCGGTATGTTTTTGCAACATGTGGGTATTATTTGCAATAAAGGGAAATCAAGAGATAAAAATATACATAAGTGGAGAAAGGGTTAAATAAATTAAGTGATCCACTATGTGGAATGCTATGCAAGTAGTTAGAAAAGTGATAAAAATGTTCATATTCTAATGATGAGAGGTACAGGTTTTAAAAAGTCTAAATTACTTTATGTATATACATATCCCATTATCTAGCCTTCCCCTTTCTTTTCCAGTTTTGCCGTTGCTCTCTCATTTTCTCCTTTCACTCTGAGCATTTTCAGATTTTTCTATTTCTAACATCATAACTGGAAACACCTTATGCTGCTGAGTTATTTGAATACCTTATCTTTTGATTTCATTTTATTAAATTACATAATTTGAAAAAATGCAGATAAATTCTTTTATACACAAACTTAAAGTCTTGGGTAAGAAAAGAAATACGAGTTGGAGGAAAATTATTAATTGTTGGTTCTTTGTTTTTTTAAGTTTTTTTCATTTTTTTCATTATTTTGGAGGCCCAATTGGGGTTCCAATTTTTTTTGATTTTGATTCTTAAGGAACCTTGGCAATTATTCCGGTTCCAACCAAGGCCCGTTTCTTGGCTTTTTTTTTTGTTTTTTTTGGTTTTTTTTTCAGAAATCCACTCTGTCCTTCTGAAAGTTTATGTTAAAAAGTTTCCTTAGGTTTCCTTCATTTGTCGTAGCCCTTGTAAGAGGTAGTAGAAACCAGGTCTACATCAAAGATGAAAATTGGTTAAGTGACTTAAATATGCCTTAGAGGCTAAAATCTCCAAGGAAATGTGAGGCAATCTATAGTGAAATTTAAATTTTTTTTTATTTTTAATTATTATTGGTACATCACAGTTGTATATATTAATATTTATAGAGCACATGTGATGTTTTGATACAGTCATACAATGTGTATTAAACAAGTCAGGGCAATTGGGATATCCATCACCTCTAGCATTTATCTATGAAGCATTTTTTTTTAATGCTCTCCCATATCACCCTCATGGTCATAGCTTATCAGGAGTGGTTATGGACACAGTGGCACACTGGCTCATAGGAGGAAAATTCTTATGGTATATTTCAAGGTCACGGTCAGGGAGAAGTGTCATGATAGAATTCAGGAGCCCAAAACAGATATATGTTTCTGTGTGTGTGTGTACATATATAAATAAAGGTCAGGACGACATGTAAAGCAAAGGTAGAAAAGATCAGTATTCAGTATACAAACTGGACTAAGTTGTCAGATAGCAGTGGAGGGCAAGAAGGCACAAAATAGACATAGAATACATGGAAATTTGAAAACAAAGCGAAATGATGCCCTGGGCAAAGATAACACATTCTTGACTTTGCATTATACAAGCACTACAATAT